AGAGCACAGTAGAGAAACTCATTCAGGTTTAAATCATTTGCTTCTAAAAGGCTAGGGTTTTGCTAGGTGTAGCCACATTATATAATCTCTTTGTTGAGTGAGGTGAAAACCGTTTCACTCAAATACTTAATCACGTATAGATGATATGAGGCAATCGGTGAATGACATTTCTGTTAACTATTTTTTATAGAATCATCTTATTTTCTCGAAAAAGTAGTCATAAGAAAGAAACAATAGTAAGAAATCGAAAAAGGAAATCCGTACTCTTACTAGAAAACAATGGAATTTAATATACACTAGAAGGAAACATAAGATAAAGAATAGACAATTAGTATATTATTACATTTCTTCCTACCTCGTGTAACTATTTGATGAGAGCAATATTATGCTTTTTTGCAAATATATGTTTGTACTTTTATAACCCTTTTGGATTTACAATTATAGATAGGTATACTAAACAAAATTGATGAATAACTTTACTTTTCTATCAAATAAAATAGACTTCCTAATTTTAAAAACTTCATATATGTATATAATTGTTTCATTTAATTATTGTTTTAGAGAATTTACGCACAAATTAACAAAAGTTTAAATTTATATTATACATTTTATCAAACAATATCATTTTCCAAGCTATGCCTATTATTTTCCCTTTTGAGTTAATAAGCTAAATTGATGGATACAAACATTGCAATTAGTTTAAAATATTGTATCAAAGACATAAAACCATTTTTTATGAAGCAATTAATATCGAAACTTTAAAATGAAGAAATATTGTACGTATGAATTAGATAGGATATTTACAAAAGTTATTCAATAGAAATTTTAACTCATTTATATAATAATTGACATGGACACAACTGAAATAAAATTTTGTTTATAGTATTAGGATATTTTTGTTTCATAATTTTTTGAGCAGAAACAACATGTTGAATTCGATTAAATTAAATTTCTCTCTACCCGGGACAAGAACTTGAATAGTGAGTTTCATAGTTAGATAATCTTTTGATAGAACTTTGGTATAGTTTCAAAACATGATTTCTTCCCCTATATATATTATATTCCATAGATGTTTGGGAGAGGAACCTTATAGGCGAAGAAATGTCCCCACTCAAACCCTAAAAAGGGAATCACAAATAAAAAATACACATAGATTAATTATAGACGCGTATACACATAAGGCAATGAGAGTGGGAATCATACAAATCTATAGAAATCATAAAAAGAATCGAAACTCCTTTTCTTTTTCTCGTTAAAAAAGCATTTTCTTCCCTTTAATTTGTCTTTGTTCTCCTTCTCTCTTCTCACTTTCCTTTTTGAATTTGTGCTCTCTTCATGTTTCTCTTTGGTCGTCTTGCTTAATTCCTCTCTTTCGTTTTGCTTTTTTATTTTTGGATTCCCCCACCAAGTTTTTCCTTGTAGTTGTTTTTCCTAAAGATCCATCAAACTTTATTAAAGAAGGAAGAAGAAAGAGATAATAAAAGGGTATAGAAGAATGATTTTCTCATCCAATTGGCCACAGGTTTCACTTCTTTCATCTTCCCATTACTACTCTCTTTCTCTCTTTTTGCAATTTATCTCTTAAATTCTTCGTTAATTAGTGTTTTGATTCGTTTAGTAATTATTTTGATTCATTTCCAAAAGATATTCCTATTCTCATCTTCTTTTCTAATCAGCTTTCTTTTAAATCCCAACATATATATATGGTATTTCTTGCTATATACAAAAAATTTTTTTTATAGAATTGGGGTTTCTTGGTTCTTTCTTTTATTTTGATTACTTTGAAATTTTATTTTTCAGCCTACAAATTCGA